CTCCCTAAAGCAGGCATCACGAAAAATGGAAAGGAGGTGGCGCTCCACTAAGTCAGAAGAGTTTTTCATAGACTTTATTCATCACTGATTGAGGAGAATAAGAACAACCCCAGGTTTCTTTTCAGCACTGTAGCCAGGCTGACAAAGAGCCACAGTGCTGTTGAGCTTAACATTCCCTTAGATCTCAGCAGCAATGACTTCATGAGCTTCTTTACAAATAAAATCACAACTATTAGAGAAAAAATTGGTCGGACCACTCCCACAGCTCTCGCAGATGTGCCATCTACTACAATGGTTTTAGAAACATCTGTAAGACCTCATTTATACTTGGACTACTTCTCCCCTATAGATCTCTCTGAGTTGACCTCAACAATTGCTTCATCTAAATCATCAACATGTCTCCTGGACCCCATCCTGACCAGGCTGCTCAAAGACGTCTTTCCCCTAATCAACACATCCATACTAGATCTGATTAACCTCTCTCTATTAACAGGTTATGTTCCACAGGCTTTTAAACTTGCAGTAATTAAACCTCTACTCAAAAAGCCTACACTTGACCCAAGTATCCTAGCTAATTATAGACCAATATCAAATCTCCCATTTATTTCCAAAATTCTTGAAAAAGCTGTTGCAAAGCAGTTATGTGACCACGCGCACAAGAATGATTTGTTTGAGGATTTTCAGTCAGAAACCGCATTGGTGAAAGTCACCAATGATCTTCTCCTAGGCGCAGACAAAGGACTTGTCTCCATACTTGTCCTCTTAGATCTCAGTGCTGCTTTTGACACCATTGATCACAGCATCTTGCTGCACTTGGTTGGTTCAAATCTTACTTATCAGAAAGATTCCAGTTTGTTCATGTTAATGATGAATCCTCCACACTGACTGAAGTTAGTCATAGCATTCCACAGGGCTCTGTGTTAGGTCCAATTCTCTTCACTTTATACATGCTTCCTTTAGGCAATATTATCATAGATATATGATATATATCTTAAATTTGCAATTTGATCAGTGTTCAGTACATTTTGCTTAATAATAAAATGTGTTTTATACTTAACTTTTATGCATATTTAGACATATAATGTTCTAGGGATTGAAATGACATATATTCTATAGAATGGCCATTTACTGTCATATATGACAACAATGAGCATCAAATTCTTACAACAGACAATAGTTACATTTTTGCTTGAAAACTAACATATAAATTATAGGATTCATTTCATGATACTAGCTCAATAATACTGTAATAGCTGTTTATTATTCTCAACACAGTGTGGCAAGGACTGTCTGACTTGGCTGGATAGTCCTGACTAGCTTCATTCCATTTTAGAAATCTGGGGTTAGTTGGTCAAACATATTGTGATGCTTTTCTTATGTAATGTTTTGCTTATGCAACATTTTGCCTTGCTTTATTCTGTTTTTATGTTGAGATTTACCTAGCAATGTGTTCCCTATTTATTGTAATTGTATTGTTTCTTCTAAGTAGGGTTTAGCCAATTTTATGGTGTGTGAACAGTGCGTGAATGGTTTTATGCACAGGGAGGCAAGGCCCTCTTATATTTGGTTGGTCGATGTGTGATTAATTGATTTGTGGTGTTTATTTAATGGTGCCTTTTTAACCTGTTGACTGACCATTTTACTCCTGTTCTGCACTGTATTTATTGAGCAGGGAGAAACATCTTGTAGGTAATATTTTAGCTTTGGGGCTAGGCCTTTTAAAATATTTTTCACTGTTAAGTTATACATTGTCTCAAATAAAGTTTTATCTGTGTGAGTAACCCCAATGTCTCTGTGTTTGCGGATTTATGTGGGGGTAGCAACTCAGTACTGGTGAAGTTTGCATGAATTTGGCCTCTTGAAACAGTTGGGGTGTTATTCTTGGGGAACTACTAAAAATTATTACGGTCTGAGTTGCCTAGGCCTGTATATTGGCCCGGTCACAATTTGATCAAAGATGCAAGCTGTTTCCTGAACAACAACAATAACAATAATAATAATAATGTCTAGACCTTACTTTGTCAAGTGTCCTGAGATGACTTTTGTTGTGATATGGTGCTACACAAATAGAATCGAATTGAACTGAAGTGAATTGAACTAGTTTCATTCTATCTTAGGAATCTTAGGTTAGTTGGTCAAACACATGGTCAAAAATGCAGGCTGTTTCAGCATTTAATAAACACACAAACTTAAAAAGAAAGAGGGTATTTATTTTTTCAGTTAGCCCACCTAATAAAGTCTGGCAAAGGAAACAATAAAGGTACTTTTTTTTTTTACTTGAAAAGATGAAAAGTTGGGACTAGACAGTTTTTTGCTGATGAACTGTGGGCGTTGACTATATTCATTGCGTCGTTGCTGAGACACGCCTAAAACGTACATGGAAGCTGGCGGTTTATTTATTTATTTATT